TATAGGCCACGTCCATTCTGACCCCAAAACACCACAAAGAGTCACCATAATCAAGCCACACAGGAGCGGTGAGGGTTTTGATCCCGTCAACAGAAACAGTTTGAAGTAGATTTAGATTTAGATTTAGTTTCTGCCAAAGTTCAGTGTGAAGGTGGGGAAAAATAAAATAAAACCTAATTTTCTCAGCAGAGGATCGTCAAGACTGAAGACTGAAGGTGATTTGTTTGTATCACAGCTGGTTTTTGCACTTCTGTGTAACTGTCTCTTCAGGCTTTGTGTCTGTAGGTTCTCAGGGAGACGTTGTAAAGCCACATCCTCATTTCTAATGTCCCAGTCCTCCAGTTTGACTGAGCCTGACCTGAGTGACAAAGACCTGAAGGACTCTGGACTGAAGCAGCTTTCTGCCAGACTGAAGAATCCAGAGAGTAAACTCAGGTCAGAATGAAGTAAACTACATGTTTCAATGTCATGTCTGTGTTCCCATATTTAAAGCATTATGTCCAGCCGGGCTCAAACAGGACTCAGGTTCAGAGATTTGGCAAAAAGGAGGACTTTAATTAAACAAGGACGGTCTAACAGGGAGCTGAAGGGCAAGGTGACATTACAAAACAATAATCACTCAGAAAACAAGGATGCAAAAGGCTAATAAAGTACTGAATAATAACATGAGGAAAAAGTGGAGGTTTGAGACTTCTTGGGCAAAGCATAAGCACAGATTCTTGGGTCAAACAGTTTTGATGCATTCATGGACCGATCGTAAATGCATCAAAACTATCTTGATGGCATCTCCTCGTTAGTATGGTGGTGAGTATCATAAAACTTTATCCAACCAATATAAAAGGAAAACCAAATAAATATGTAGAGTACACCTTTAAGATTGGTCCGTGAATTCATCAACACTGCCATGATGTCATCTCCTCGTTAGTATAGTGGAGAGTATCCCTGCCTGTCACGCAGGAGACTGGGTTTCGATTCCCCGACAGGGAGCTGATTGTTAATTTACTTCTTTTTTATATAACCTTGGGGTTCAGTGATTAAAAAAACGATCAAACATAATCTTGGGTTAGAAGGTTGAAGATGACCTGGGTCTGTTGCACATTAATGTAGACAGGAGAAGGCTTTTAAATGGCTCGGAGCAATAGATAGACATGACAATAGAAACAACATGTCAGTGCCTTTCACTAAGAAAATCAACAGACTCACAGGTCTAAAACGAGCCTAACATATACAAATTTAACCCAAGGCTAGATTTATTTTTTAAATGACTGTATTAAAAAGTCTGTTTTTACTGAGTTTCACATTCCATGAGCACCTGGGAATGTGTTCATCTGAAATGCTACACAAGATCTGGATGGAAATCACAGCTTTCATTTCCCATCATGCATTGATGGGGGCCTGCACAGTTATTGTAGCCTTCAGAAAAAGGTTTGAAATGAATTGATATGGTC